GCCAGCATTCGGGGGGGTGCCCGACAGGCCCCGTGCAGTTCCCGCCGCCGAGCGGTCTCTTCCCTGACCTTGCTCTCCACACACATGCTCTTCACATCCCGCCACGACAGGGGTGACAGCCACGAGAGCCTATGTCCCTCCCAGTCTGAACCCTTCGGGCGGAGGAGACGAAGGGACTCCCGACAGCGCTCGCAGCCATCCTGCGTGCTCAGGTCTGGCTGACCTGCTCTGAGGTCAGTCACGGCCCTGCCAGCTTCCCGGGCAATCTGCGCCTCACGCAAGTTCCCAAGGTATTTGCAGTTTTGGAGAATCCTGATTTCCTCAAACTCTTCCTTGATTATTTGTGCTCTTTCCTTGGCTCTTATGAAAATTTGGCTCAGACTTCTCCGTGGAGCAAAGCTAACAAGATGCGGGCCCTCTCAGAGAGTTGCCTACGGGCACCGCCCAGCCCGGCTCAGCCCGTAGCCTGGCGCCACCATCGCCTCACCTGCCTCTGACGTCAGGATTGGCCTGCGGGCTGGCCAGCTACTGCAGAGCCTCAGTAAAAATAAATTTTGAAAGAGGGCATTGGGCTGCTCCGAAGCCCTGTGGGAAGGTGGTGGGGACCGGCCCTGAGCCTCGGGATGGACGCCTCCCTCCAGGGGAGAGCTCCCGCCACCCTGCGCTCCCAGCCTCTGCCCCCCACCTGCCCCCCAGGGCACCCGGGCACAGCCAGTTTTCTACACCCAGGGCAGGGGCAGGCGCCTGGGGCCAGCAATGCAGCCGCGGCCCGGTGCCCCTCCCCCAGCGGCAGGGCAAGGCTGCACCCCGAGGAGCGCTGTGCCGCCCGCCTCCTGCACCTGCTTCCCCTCAGTGGCACGCAGCTGCCTTCACCTTGGCCCACAGCCTGGCTGCCCCGTGAGTGATGAAACCCTCTTCTTCGGAGGAAATTGAATCTTGAAAACCTCATAAAAACATGCAGTTAGCAGAGAGCCGGCGTGGAGGACCAAGAGCGGGAAGGCCGGGAGGCTGCGGGGGACAGTCGCAGGGAACCAGGCAGGAGTGCACGTGGGGGCCCCGGCTACCCACCCGAGGGCCCCCCCCTCCCGGTGGCGCCCCAGCGGGTGTCACAGGGTGACAGGAAGGCGGCTGAGCCCCCACGATGCAGGAGACTCAGGCAAGCTGCAGGCCAGGACTGGATGGGAAGGCGCCCTTCCTCCCGCACCCCGTCCCAGACCCAGCCCCGACCTCGTACAGGGGCCGACTGGGGGGTTTCCTGGCGCACAGCCCAGGGGCCAAGGACTGCAGCCCCTCAGGATCCCATAGGAGTCGGGACACGCAGCGTGAAACACACGGGCTCCCAGCGGCCTGGGGCAGGCCACCGGCCAGGCCCACATGACAATGAAGTGACCGGCGCCCCACACGGCTCCTTGCTCCCGACCCGGGCCGAGACTGGCAGAGGAGGGATGGCCCTCCCTGGCCTGGGATGGCTCCGCTGCCCGCCTGCCACTGCCCACCACGGTCAGGTCACAGGAGGCAGAGCGGCGGGAGCCGCGGGCCTGCCACGAGTCAGGGCACCCCAGAACCGCTTGGGGTCTTGAGTGGGGCAGACCCGACAGACCACAATGTCCCAGCAAGTGAGTTACAGGAGGGCCGCGGCCACACGGGCATCCTCGCAGACAGTGAAGACGATCCGCCTCCAAACAGCTGCGGGCAGAGAGCACCGCCCCAGACGGGCCTTGCATCCGCGCTCTGGGGAGACCCACACTTGCGCCCCAGGGCCTGCACAGGACCCACGCGTGGAGTCCTGGATGCGGGGGTGGCAGGGGGTGCTTGTGCTTTGCCAGCTGGAAGGGGCGATGGGGGCCGCTGTGGAGAACAGGGAGCCGCTGTGTGCACCCCACAGCTGCACCCCGGCATACACCAGTGACCCGGAGAGCTGGAGTGGGGGGGGGTCGCGTGTGCCCTGCGGCTACACCTGGGGCACACCAGAAGCCCACACAGCTCAGCCTGTGACAGCCAAAGGCAGGAGGGCAGGGGGCGGTGGGAGGGAGCAGGGTGGCAGGGAGGCCGGCAGGAAGGGCTAAAGCACAGGCGGTAGCTCAGATGGCCCAGGAGGGCCAGGCACTGAGGAGGTGGCGGCAGACACCGAAGGCCTTGCCTTGTCTGAGTCCATGTTTCGGGGTGTTTGGGGTGTGAGCTTCAGCTCAGTTGTTTCGTGCCCCCCGCCCCCATCACACCAACCAGCAAGTCCCTGACACTAGGGCTGTCCAGAAGTCTCTGTGGCCCCCAGGCTCACAGATGCCCTGAGACACGGTTCCCCCACAATGAACCAAGCTTGGAGGGTGGCCGCCTCCCCCCAGGGCCCCCGCCTGTCAGTGCCGGCTTGTGCCGGGAGGGCGCCCGACAGCTCCCCTTGGCCCACATGTGAGCTGGGGCAGCTTCCTCCACCCACGCGTGCCCAGATGCACATGTGGTGCCCCCGCCAGGGGTGCCGGCTCACTCAGGTGCCAGCCCCACCAGACGCTGGGCTCAGAGTTAGTCCTCAAGCTGACTGCGCAGAGGAGCCCGGCCCCTTGTTGGGAGGGCTGCCGAGGCGCGAGACGACGGCCTGGAGGGGCTCGCTCAGCACGGGGAGGCCCTCCCTTCTCCAGCAGCGGTCCCTGAAGAAGGTCGGTCCTCGGGGAGCACTGGGAAAGGCGTCCAGGCCGAGGCTAGAGCTGAGATGGCAGAGCAGCTGGGAGGGGTCGCCGAGGGGTCTCCAGCACCCGGCAGGGGAGGGGCTGGGAGCAGGCTCTGTGGACGCATCCACGCAACTTAACAGACTAAGTAGGGCCCTCCCAAAGTCCAGCCAGCCCAGACTCTGTCCACCGCCACCAGGCGAGGGCCGCGCCCCTCCCTGCCCAAGAGGGGGTACACAAAGAGACTCCTCCCCCGACTGTCTGCCGCTTCTGTAAGGGGGCTCCCCGCTTCTGTAAGGGGGCTCCCCGCGGCAGACACAGAGGAACGCTGCGGGGGAGGGGGCCTGCAGGAAGGGCCAGGAGAGGTTGAGCCCCAGCTCTGCACCAGGTGCTGCCTGCACACAAGGGCTCCGGGGACAGGCGACAGGAGGTGGGCAGGGCTGAGGCGGGTGGGTGGAGACGCTGCCAGGCTGTGGGGACGCTCCGGGCAACGGTGACAGGGGAGGGTGTGCAGGCAAGGCCCAAGCATCATGTCGCAAATCTTGTCGCAGTATCCAGCCTTTCCATCGGGGGCTGGGGGTGGGGAGGGGGAGGCGCCCACGGAGCCTGCTGAGCAAACCGCGAGGTCACCGGCCTGCACGACTTCCAGCTGAAACAGCAGCTGGCATTTTCCTTCAATCTCCTACAGAACACATATTTATGCCATCCAGGAAGTAATAAGGCAAAGTCTTACATTTAATCAGAAGAAATACTTCGCCAGCGGCAAGCTGGTAAATTATCTAGCAAAGGGCTCGATGGGCCTGGCAGGGAAACCTGGGCCAGACCGTCTGGCAGCCTCCAGAAAAAATATCGTCAGGACTCCTCTAAATTCCTTCTTGACCCCAAACCACCTCTATCAAAATGCTTAAATGTGAATAAGGCAGGAAACCAGGAGGACGGGGAGCGGGCCGAGGGGCTGCTCCGTGAGCCCTGCCGCCACGTCCTGTGCCCGCCCTGGCGAGGACGCCACGCGAGGACACAGTGAGGGCCAAAGCCAGGCCTCCCTCCGGCACCTGCGCCAAAGGTCTAGAAGTGTAATCGGGTCCCTGTCACCTCGCTGCAGACGGCACAGCAGCCTCTCTTACTGCAGCAGCAAAGAGAGCCCGTGGAGCGCAACAGGGACGCGTGTTCAGCTCCGCCTTGACTCAGAGGCATGACCGACATGAGGAAGTGGCACCCGGGACAGACAGCCGAGCAGGTGACCGCCCGGTGTCCCGTGCCAGCGCTGGGGGAGGCTCCAGGTGTGCCCACAGGAGAGGCCCTGCTGTGGTGCCAGCCGCCCGGGCCCACGGCCCCAGGAGGTTGCTGAGAGCAGAGAAGCAGGTCAGGGGCTCCGGGCGGCACAGCCCACCCACCCCCTGCAGCCTGAGACTCTGAAGCTGCAGCGGGAAACGCTTGCTTTCCCTGCATTTAAAAACACAAAGGTCCTAGCACTCACCAGGCCCCTTACGTGAGGAACAGGCTCGGTTCTGCCCCCGCTTCTCCCAGGATGCGGGTGAGGTGCAGGGGCCCGGGCCCAGGCAGGCGGGAAGGCTGCGGCTGGGCCTGAGCAGGTGAGCCCTCAGCGCCTGCCTCCATCCAAAGAGCAAGAGCAGGCTCCACGGGCGCCCGAGAGGCCACCCTCTCCCCACCCTCAGTGGAGTCCAGAAGCTGCCCATCGCGCCAAGCTGGATGGAAAGGCACCTCTGTAAACACCCCCAGTGTCTACTCTCCTATTTAAATGGTTAAAGCCACAAAACTGCTAATGAGAAAAGCTAAAGGAATTAGGTCTTCGGCGGCGCACAAACAGCGCAGGGTCTTCAAGGCAGTCTGACACGGCCCACGCGGCCCAGGCCGCCTCCTTCAGGGGAGACAAGCTTTAAGAGCGACGCGATGAAAGACACAGTAATTGGGGACCGGCTCCCTAGAAGAACCTCACCTTCAGAATCAAAGACAAGGCGCGCACAGGCGTCATCCTTTGAACGCCGAGTGCTGTTTCTCGCTGTTTGAAACTGAAGAGGGGAGAAATAACTCTAACTAGTTGAGGTTGCAGCGAAGTTACGAGAACACATTTTCTGTGTAAAATAAAAACCACAGCTCGGGGGGAGGGTGAGAAATACTTTCCTTTTTAAAGAGCTTAGAGGAAAACTTGGGAAAGAAAACCGAGGCCAGCCGGCTCCTGCCCCGGGGGTGCGTGTCGCCGGAGGACGGGCTGAGGGAGGAGGCGCGCGCGACGGCCCGGGCGGGCCCCAGGGGGTGCAGCCTTGCCCACCAAGGAGCTGGGGCGCCGCGGGAGGAGAAGAGCAAACACGGATGGCTTACCCTGGGCTGCCAGTTCTCATACTGCTTCTGCAGGTTGGCACCGATGGTCTCCAGAGCTTTCTGAGGGCCCATCGACAGGGGATCTGGGGGGCAAAGAGAAGAGATGGTTCTTCACGAGCGCTCTTCCGCCCAGCTGGGCCCTGCAGCCTCCTCCCGCCCAGCCCCTCGGGCCTCTGGGCCCGGGACCGCTCAGTAGGGCCCAGGTTTGTCTGAGTTTCTGCCGCGGGGGTGCCCACACAGGCCGACTGGCCCCCAAGCCCACTGTTCTGGAAAAAGCTGGCCCCGTCAGAGCCACCGGCGGCCTGACTCTTCCTCCGTCACGCTGGCGTCCCCTGACAAGGCAGCGGCTGTGCCTCCATCAAGACAGGGCTCCATGGGCCAGGGGCCCTTCCTTCCCACCCAAATGCTAGGCCTGTGGCGGGGAGGGCCGGACGGGCACGAGGACAGCAAGGCGATGGCGGAGGCCCTCTGTGTCCTCGGAGGCTCATCTGGCGAGTGTGCCCTGTGCGGGGGGCCCGCAGGCCCTGGAAGGGCTTCTGGAACAGATGCTCTCCAGCCAGCAGCCCCGGAGCATGTCCCCGGGCTCCCTGCAGGGTCCTGGCTGGGCAGATACTGTATCTATCGCTTACGCCAGAGACCGAGGTGGAAACATAAAAGATAATTCTTCATTCACTTAGCACAAGAACACTGCACTACAGGGCATCCCTGGGGCGCAGCGGGTTGAGCGCCTCGCTGTGAAGCTCTCCGCAGCCTCTGCAGCACGGGTTCGATTCCCAGCCAGCCGGGGAGAGTCCCACATGGCGCGGCAGACCTCTCCTGCCTTATCCGCTGCTCCCCTCAGCAGTGCCTTCGGTCCTTCTGCCTGTTTCACTCCCCACTCTGTCTCTGGTGAATTCTCTCACCCTCCCGGGCCTCTGGCCTGTACCCCAGCTCTTGTATGCATAAATAAATAAATCTTTTCTTTTTAAGAAAAAGAACCTCCACCGCATTTACACGGAAACACACGGACACACTTACTACATCAGGTGAGTTTTCCTCCCCCCCAACCTGACAAGAGCCTGTTCTGCACTTGAGCAAAGGTCTTTCCTCCTGCCCGACGAGCCCTGTCCTGTGTCACCTGCCAGGAGCAAGTGCAGCCCCCTAAGGCATTCACCCCTCCCCCACCGCCCCATGGGTCTGCACACCGCTCCGGAGGATGTCGCCCTACAGTGTGTCAGTGAGCCCTGACCAAGGCATGGCCGAGGGCCCTGCCGCCCTGCGCGGTGGATGGTCTTTTCCACTGACGGCTCTGGGGACGGCTGCAGCCTGGGCTGCAGGTCTCCGAGGCTCACGCCCGCACCCCACAAATCCCATCCCTGGCAACAAATCCTGCGTGGTTTTCCTTAGAGCAACTGGCTCACTTCACTCACTTTCCAGAAAGCATCTGCAAGTGCCAGTCTGTGTCTCCTCCCGGTAGAACAGGTGAGCAGGAGGCACCGCCCACTCACAGCCTTGCGCCACAGCCCGCTCCCCGGTTCTCGCAGGCACTCTGGGGAATGCAGCCTGTGGGGGAGCTGAGCAGACTCATTGGCTTTATTGCTCTGTCAAGGGCTTTCTGCGGGAGCTGGGGCTGTTGTACAGCAGGGGCGGCCAGCAGCTGGCAGTGGGACCCTCTCTCTGTTCCTGCGGGGCCCGGGCAGCAAGGGCCGGGGTCAGGATCAGTTTCATAAAGTCATCAATTAGCTCCTCCCGCTGGGCCCTGAAGGCCTCCGGACGCCTCCCAGGCCAGACCCCCAGATTGGCTGAGCAAGCTGGGGCTGTCCCTCATCAAGTCCTCCGGGCGAGACGGCTTCTTCCCCTTGGGGCCGGACACCAAATGTCTCACTTCCTGGGAACCACCCTATCTGCCAAGGCTCCTGGGCTCTCAGCCTGGCCTCTTCACCTGGTCTTCCCTCCTTTTCACCATGTCTCCTGGCAGGCTCCCTTACCCCCTCAAGTCCATGTCAGGGCAGAGGAGGACCGGCATGCCCCTCCAGGGCCCATCTCCTGCCCACCCCCCTCCTTGTTCTCATTGCAGCTGTGTCCCACACCCGTCGGGGGAGAAGGGCCGGCCTCTCTCCCCTCCCCCATTCTTCCAGCACAGCCACCTGACATCTGAATTAAATCAATACCATCTGCATGTCAGTGTAAACACTATTCAGCACTGACCCATTTAGTGGACCAAAAGGACATAGTTCCTACAAATCCTTTCCAGTCTCCTTGCTGCCCTCCCTCCCCAATCCTGCAGCATTTTTCTGGCTCCCAGATCATTGGAGGGTGACCATCTTGGGGGTACTGGTGGCATCTCACCAGCGATATGGCAGCAGCACCCACAAACAAGGAACCTCTCCCTATTGCCTGTGGACAGCAGGCTACTCGGGTTCAGCCTACATTTTGTCGCTGCTGGGTGCCAAGGTGGGCCGGTCCCCCGCTGCTGCAGGAGGCGCACATAGGAGCTGGGCCACACGCAGGCCATGCGCTGTCAGTTCCCACTCTGCAGAGCCCTGGCTGACACGAGAAGCCACGATCCGCTGAGACCTTCAGCTGCTGCGGTGACAGGCTGACCCACACCACCACCCATCCCGGCTGCCAGCTGACCACTGCCCAACCCCCAAGTGGCCTTGCGTCCATGCCCATCTCTATGCCTACATACCATTTACCTCATTCTCCAAGACTCAAGAAATGTGGCTGTCTCTCAATTCATTGAATGAAGTCAGCGTTATCTTGGCGCCAAAACCAAACAAATTGTGAGAAGACTGTAACCACTATCCCTCAAAAGCAAAGATGCAAATTTCTTTAGCAAATTATTAGCCATCAAATTCAGAAATACATAAAAATGATCATTCAGATGAGGCTGATTCCAGGAATTCAAGGTTGGCTCAACAGCCTAAATTCAATCAATATAAGTCACATCAAGAGACTAAAAAGAAAAGCCAGGTGCTTGTGCCAATAGACATGGAGAAAGTGTTTCTGTAAGATTCAACATTGATTCTTGACAAAAACTCTCAGCAAACTAAGAATAGATGTAAACTTATCTTATAAAAAGACGTCTAAAAAAAGCCTTTGGCTGGTATCACCTTGATGGTGGAGCACAGTGCTTTCTCCCGCGATCAGATACAAGTGCAGGTTCTGAACGTCTCCCCACCCCCCTAAGCATGTCCTGGAGACCCACGGGGAGGGCAGCAGGGCCCGGCTCCTCCTCAGACCCAAGGCTCCTGCTGTGGATGTGGGTGTTTGCAGTGTTGGTCCTTCCGCTCTTTGTTAAGTGAATATAGCTACTGTTGTGTGCCAGATACAGGGCAAATTTAAGGAATAACGGAATTCAATAATCATTACCCCATTTATTTTCCTTGAAGTACTTTTTCTACTACTAATCACAAGTGAATGCACCTGAAATAACTAAAAGGCTGTATCACCCTGTGAGGAAATAAAACTCCCAGGCTTACACAAACCAGTGCCAGGCCGCACTGGATGGGGACAGCAGGGCCAGGCCCTGCACTCTGGACCCCCACACCCGGAGCCCTCCACAGGGACTTCCGCGACCGGCCAGGAGGGCCCTGCTTACCGATCCAGCATTCCAAACGTGCACAGGGGGTGGTCTTCACCACGTCTGGGGGGTCCACGCCAACATTCAAACACAGAACTAACGCAACACTGACCGTCTTCATCTGGAAAAACACAGAAAAAATTAAGTACATCACTATGAAACTCCCTGATATAGTTTTCCAGGTTTTTTAAAATGTGCCCGGCACAGCTCCAGCCTCCGCCCCCACCCCCAGGTGATTTCAGCAAAAACTTTCCTCTCACGAGGGGGGGCAGATGCAGGGGTCCGTGTGCACCGTGGCAGGAGGGGCTAGTCTCAGGTTTCCTTGTGATTTCCAGAAACAGACTGAAGATCAAAAGATACGGCCATCTTAAGGCACCGGGTCCATGCCGCCACATTCCCCTGCAAGAGCCGCCATTCTGATTATTTAAAATCACTAAGCACTTTGCAGGGCCGTGACCCAGGGATGTGGGGGAAGCAAGGATTCCCAGGTGTCCCGGGGCCGGTCTGGGGCCACTGGCCTGAGCCGAGCCCTGGCCTTGCAAAGCTGTTGCTGGTGGATCCTCTCGGCCCTCCTCTGGGCACAGGGCGTCCACACAGCGTGCCCAGCATCCCGGTCATCAGCCTATTTCTTCTTCCTCGGCTGACCCTCGAGCCAAATGACATTCCCTCTACCTCGGTGGCAATCAATGAGCTTAAACAACCCTAGGCAAAATACGTAAGTTCTGATTTACAAAAGCACCAGCTCCAGAATCCTCCAAGCCCCTCAGACCACACTCACGGACACTTGCAGTGGGCCCTCGGGGAGCCAGAGCGCCTGCCTCCATGCCGTGCCCAGCCGTCACCCCCACAGTCCCGCCGCCCCCCAGCCATCACCCCTGCAGTCCCGCTGAGCGACACGCTCTGGGGGTGAGCCCCAGGCCCTCGGAGAGGAAGGGTGAAACCGGGGCCCCTCCACACGCCAGGGCGAGGGAGAGTGGAACCCGCAGCACCCCCTCTCACACAGCCGCCTGCCCGTGGGAGGGAAAAGCCTCCAGAACACATCGGCACGCGAGCCCACCCGCCCTCGCTGCCTGCGGGAGGCAGAGGTCACGCGAGGAGGGCGCCCCAGCCGGCCACAAGGCGAGTCCTGGCCCTCGGGGCGCCGCTGACTTCAGACACGGCGCCTTTAAATTTGAGCTGTACCCAAAAGCTTCTTTCTGGTATTTCATTTTCATTTCTGTGATAAGTTCATTCCCAAATTCCAGATGAATGTTTTTTAATAACACAGCACAGCACAGAGAGCGCGAGGGCCGGCCAGCTCCGCGACAGACCGGGCAGCTCAAAAGGCCGCCTCCGCCTCAAAACTTTCTCCCCAACGCAGTGCAATTAAGGATGCAGCAGCGACACCCCCGGAGGCTAGTTTTGAACTTGAAAAGAGCACCATCCTGAGGCTCTCCGGAGGAGGGAGAGCCTCCAGCCAGGGCTCTCAGCACGGATGAGACAGGAGGCCGTGGCCAAGCCCCAACGCCACCATGAGACAGCGCCCCCCACCGTGAGACAGCGCCCCCCACCGTGAGACAGCGCCCCCTCCCCCTGTCCTGTGCACAGAGAGCCGGGAGTGTAGGAAACATGATGACAAATAGTATGGCAGGCCCCCCTCTGAGCAGCCTGGCAGAGGTTCCACCAGGCCTCAAAGCCACCTTCCCCAGGGACAGGGCCCAGGGATCGGCAGCCCCCGCCCTGCAGCTCCTCTCCAAGGCCCCGACAGCCAGAGGCTTCTCTTGCGTCTCCCTCGCCTGGTCTTTGACCGCGCGGGAAGGCGTGGGGCCCGCCAACAGCCGCCTCTCAGCACACCCGGGGCCCATCTGAGCGAGCAGAGCTCCCCAGGTGGGGTCTGTGGAAGGGCCGGCCTCCCTGCCCCCGCAGCCAGGCTCCGCGCAAGCGTTCCTGAAGGAGCCACAAAATCATTAATATCTGCAGCAAAACATCATTTAAAAGGGAAGAAGGAGAACTAGAGTTAATGCTGATGCAGAAACAGCGCTTCGCACAGAGTAATTCTGAAGACAAATCCAAGCAGAACCTCAAAAACACAGCATCTAGATTATTTTTTCTTAAAAAAAAAAAAAAACCCAAAACAGAAAACAAACCAATGTCACAAATGCCCCCTTCAGGAAAGTGCCGACGGGGTCAGCCTCTGACACCCAGGCAGCCGCCTCCAGGGCAGTGCCACCGCTGTTGGGGCACCTCCAGGCCACCAGGCTGCGCCAGCCACACCTGTCCCCTTGGAGGTGGGGCGGGGGCTCGGAACGAAGGGGGGCTGGGCTTTTCCAGAAGCCAGAAGCCAGCCAGGCACACCCCACGGCCCAGCCGTGCCTCAGGGGACAAACAGCAGAAGGACATCGCTCTTCCAAGTAAACCCACCTGACCAGCTGCCCAGCACAGAGGGCTGAGGTGACTACCCCGTGGTCAGCACAGGCCCAGCCGAGTCTCAGGGCCCTTCCAAGAAACGCCTCCCACTGTGAAACCAGAGGCCCCCCGGCAGCACTTCAGGCCTCGGACATGTCCACATATAAACGTTGTTATGAATTAAATATGAGCAGAAAAGAGAAGGCGCGCGGGGGGGGGACCCGAGCATTCCTATCTGTGTCTCCCTCAAATGGCTGTGGTGTCGACACAGGCCCTGGACGCCGCTGCAGACAAGTGTCCCTTGCAGGGAGACTTCCGTCCAGGCGCGCCAAGGGGCAGGTTGGCCCTGACCCCGCCTGGCAGCAGCGGGCGTCGCTGAGTGCAGGGGCCCGACGTCCGCAGACTGTGGGCCGGGCCCCAGGGGCGGCAGCGCCGGAGCAGGGTCCGAGTGGCCAGTGCCCAGGGCGCCTGAACGGTGGGGGGGAGGGGCGGTCCTGCGTCCTGCACGGTGGCCGCCACCGGGCGGCTCCAACAACAGCCCCGAGGGAAAGGGGACAAAGCACAAAGCAGGCAGGCAGCTACGGACCTGAGACGCGGCGGGGAGGGGCAGCGGGGGCAAGTGGGGAGCAGAGACGGGGCCCTGGCGAGGTGGTGGTGGGAGTTTATAGGGACTACGCCTGAGGGGAGAAATCAAATACTGTACAAAAATGAGCAACAACACAGGAAAGTTAAAAAAAAACAACAACACACAAAACCCCACCAACGGCAGCAAGCCCGACTCCAGGGGGCGGCGGCCGCCCTCACCAGCTCGTAGTTGGATTCGGCTTCGCACCCCACGTGCGCCAGCGCCCCAGAGCCTGGGCCCGGCTCGCTTAGAGGCCAGGACCCGTCCTGCCCGGGGCCCCGTGTTCCTTTTCATGGACTGATTAAGCCCTTGTTCACCGGAGGAGATGCGAGCGTCATCACAGCGCTACTCAAGTATGTAAGGGCAAAGCTAGGTGTAAATTCTTTATGGTTGTAAGAATTTTATGCAGCTATAAATGCAAAACAAACAACAAATTAAATATAAATCCAGCCACAGAGCCAGTAAAATCCAAATGAACACCATAAATTTAACGTGACAAATTGTGGTTTTGCTGATGGTAAATTGCTAACGCGGTAGTTAACGGTTAGAAGAACTTACGGGTATTTTAAGACCTTTTAACTTAGTGTCACTTAACTCCTTGGGTTTTTGAGAGTGATAGGCTATTTTGTTTACCTTCTACTTCTATTCTGTGTGGCTATGTGACAGGTCACACGGTTCAAGAACCCGGAAGCTGTGAGTGGCAGGCCGGGCGCCCTCGCAGAGCCCGCGCAGGCCCGAGCGCCCACTCGGCGCAGCACGGACGCGAAGGGGCCGGGACCCAGGGGAGGGCTCACTGTGGGGTGCGGGGTGGGTCTGATATCTGGGCCGGTCTGTCACAAGCCAAGACTACTGCGATCGTTTCCTGAGTCCGCATAGACGATGCCGGAAAGGAAGCTGTGTGCAGGAACCAGCCGCGGGCGGGACCCCACAAGGGTGACGTAGGAACGCAACATGGACTCCATGTGCAGGAGCATGTGCAGCGGGCTGCTCCCGACCAGAGGACAGTGTCTGCCTGGGGTGCCGAGGCCGATGGCCGCACTGAGCAGCGTGGATTTACCTCAAGGCCCACCCGACCCGGCGCTGCTGTCGGGGACCCTTTCTCTGTGTTTGTTTTATGTCTTTCTGCACATAGCGCGCATTTAAAAATGTATAAAGGTCACAGAAACAGATGAAGCAGCACAGGACTGTCCATGTTTTTGCTCAGAAAACAACTTTCTGAAGACCAGTCACCAGCGCTCTGCTCACCAACGGGGCGCAGGGCTTTCTCGCCATCGGGAACGTGCACACCCGTCGGGCGCCCTTGGCCAAGGCGGCACATGTGGGATGGGCATGTGACCGGACCGCCAGGAGCTGGCGCGGTGGACACCAGCCTGGGCGCGACCCGGTGCGGCCCCATGGGCGGCGCTGCATCTGTCCGGGACTGGAGCCGGGCCCAGGGGAGCAGGTGTGGGGGGCAGGGCCCAGGGCATGGGAGGGCCAGGCCTCCCCCACGTCTTTCTCTGCACAATCTTCTAATTCCACGTTCTTCAGAAGAAACCTCAGTGCAGACGTGTGGCTGTGCAGACAGTGGAGTAAAAGACAGACGCCCGCACCCCAGCGCAGCCCCCCTACCCCCGCGAGGCGAGACGCGGCTCCCGCACAGGCGCCAGGGCAGGCGGAAGAGCCCGGCCCGTCCACGAGCGCAATTTAGCAAGGCCTGTGACAAGCCAAGTGTGGATTTGGTCTCTCGGGCTCCATTTCAGTGACAAATAGGCCCATATAAAGCTGGCTTCGGCGGCGGTGGGAGGGGCTGCGGGGGGAGGTAACGGATGGCTCCCGCCGAGCCAAACAATCAGGTCTGCGCCGCCGAGAGGGAGACGAGGCCCACAGGCTCTCGGCAGCTGCCTCTGCCCCTCCACCGGCCGCCAGCACCACACACTGCATGCAGCGGGCACGGGAGCCTGGGGGGCGTGGGGGCCTGAGGGCACAAGGCAGGCGTGGGCCACACTGAGGGCCGTGTGTGGGGCGTGTTTATGCCCAGACACTGCAATAGCTGGGCCTCGAGTCGCTGTGGAATCTCAGAGGTGCGCAGACATTCTAAGTCCCTAATCAAATATAACAGCCTCCGCGTC